TATAGTCCTTGTGGCTTAGCGCTTCTTTTTGATTATAATAATAATTCTTTACATAAACTGTAGTACATGCATTAACTTACGGTAACTGGATGGAATATGCACATCAAACACTCAGTACTTTTTACTACTACTGTTTTTTATGTACAGTATGTGTGCATGTATATGTGTGTGTGTGTAAGTGTATGTATGATGCTTAGCAACCAGAGGATCAAAGCATCTCCAATAAACAAAACAAAAAAATAAGGGCAATGCGCAACCAATGTAGATGTACCAAATCCATACACAATGAAATGGTAAAATATACACATCTGAAGAAGCAAGTCGAAGCCAAGAAGATATGCTCTACAAGATAAAGATGCCCACAACACACACCAACAATCATTTACAGCCAAAACTGAGAGACTGGAAAACATAATGGTGTTGAGGCTACGTGGACACTGTTACCACTGATCATCTCAACCTCTGAATAAGCCAAATAAGTTCTCAGCACCCTGAACCAAGACTGTGACTACTGCCAACTTGCCATCAAATCACACTGCAGCTGGATTAAGCCCTGGTACTTTCTCTTCATTTCAAGACACTTGTGATCAAGATCCCATTTCTTCACCTCTTCCCACTATTATTAATTAATGCTTCCCCTCAACAGGGTCTTTTTGTGGTGTGAATTAATTAATTTGAGCTTTTATAATACTGTTCAGTAATCACTATGTTTTAAATTTTCAATCAGTAATCAATTTATACTAAAAAGTACCAGAACAAAGCATGTCATGTTACAATAATTCTCAATGTTAAAAATAAATTGGGCTTCATTTGTAGTACACCACTTGCTTTAGCCAAAGGAGAGTTATCAGAAGACAAAAGCAAAATTTTTTAAATCTTTCTATATTAGTAATTACAAAGAAAAAAAAAGGGAGGGGGTTACCTAGCCCCTTGTTCCTGTGGAAAAAGTTTATGGGAATAGAAGCTAAGTGTCTTAAGCAGCACTGTATAGCCCTTGTGGCTTAGCACTTCTTTTTGATTATAATAATAATATGATAATAATAATAATAAGTGTCTTAAGAAACACACACACGTCAAGATTAATGAATACTTAATATAACAGAAGTTTATAAGATTTACCTTCCATCTTATATGTTAAAAAGACAGACCAGCAATCCTACTAGAGTACAAAATTTTGAATATTATTATTATAATCAAAAAGAAGCGCTAAGCCACAAGGGCTATACAGCAAAATTTTGAATAGGCTTATGGCAGACTGAAATTTCATACTTAGATGATTGTAATATATGGTGGAAACGAGTCACGTGTGCTGAAGCTTGAGCTAGCCAGTTGACATCTCATACTTAAAGCTAGTTTTGGGAATGCCCCTTGGCTCACCCAGATTACAACTCACATGTTTTCTTGTTACACAAATGATGTATACAGTATATACAGTAAACTTCATGATGAGTGGGTTACATTCCTGAAAATGTGCAAATACTTTAAAATTGTGATGTATGAAGTGCACACACAGGAAAATTAGTTATGTTCAAGACAACCTCAAATCTGCAAACAAATTTTCTTTTACTATTGTACAGACCTAGATTAAAATACCTATAGAATAATCTCTTGAAAGGGAAGTATGTGGAGAAAGTTGAGGTGGGCTTACTGGGCTGAGGTGGAAGGCTGTTGTTCTTGTGTTGAAGTGGATGCAGCATTGTCAGTAGATGATGATAGTATTGCAGTGCTCAAGTAGTCTGCTATGGATCTCTGGTGTGTTTTACCTCGCAGTACTTTACATTGCTAACCAGAAAACTATAATAAAAACCACAGCAGTTTCTTTCAAACCATCTAGTAGTAAATATACACTGTTGTAAAGGCTCTCCTTTCTTACACAGTTTTATAGTACAATAGGGCTCTGTTCCTTATTATATGAGTACTAAGTGAGTCTACTTCTTGGATTTCCGTAATCCAAACATTCAGAAACTTTTCCATTTATATGTAATTCAGCTGCAGTCACTTCTTTGACATTCTTTTAAGCATGTGACAATTTGTACTACTTAGTGCAGAAACTCTTGCTTTTCTCATTTCTAATTGTACAGATGGCTGATTCATTTATTGTTAACAATCCATCACATGTTAACCACCCATAGCATATCTAAAAAACATATTTTCTTCAAGAGTCATAAATTCATGCTTATTTTTCTTAAAATCACTAGTATTCATCTTGAATACCAGCAACCAGATAGTGTTGAAAATATCCAAAATAGTTTCATATATATACAGTGGTACCCCAAGTTTCGAACTTATTTCATTCCAGAAGGCTGTTCGAGTGCCAGTACCGAACGAATTTGTTCCCATAAGGAATAATGCAAATTAGATTAGTCCGTTTCAGACCCCCAAAAGTACACTTACATAACTGTTCAAGTGGAAGCAGTTCGAAACTCGGGGTACCACTGTATATGCAGTATATATAAATTTGCTGTATACATGCATGCATACATAAACAGGTGCATATATTTTATGGTATAGAAATGTAATCTCACACCTTTGTGAAATGACAAATTACAAAGGAAGGGTAGTGTGGGATTTGAAACCCGTGCTTCACGATACAAAATGTTCACATTACCACTGAACTACCTGATGATGATAACCTTTATTTTTAAAAAGTATGGCATGTAGTTAATACAGGATTAATTTACATGATAGGTATGCTTTATAGAAAGTCTCTGGTTTTGCAAAGCATTTCTGCATATAATAGAGAACCAGTAGAACATAAGATCACAATAAGTCTGTGGAAGAATCATCACAACCAAAGTTTTATCTTACTCCCAACATTACTCGTGGCTAGTGTAACATCGTCATGCCCTTTTTTTCTTTTGCTTTTGCCACATCTGTCATTTTCCACCAAGGCAAGGTAACCTATTATGGAAGAAAATCACAAAAAGCATTTTATCTTAATACAGGTATTCAATCTGACCACAGTGACAGTGAAACTATTCTAGCTCTTCTGTATAATAAACACTGGTCAGTGGCACAAGTAATCTAACTATTTTACTCAAACAAATAGAAGATGAGTTATGCTGATATGAACCTCAGTTTCAATGTACTGTAGTATGCTTTGCCTCTTTTTACATCTTTTGTGTTTGAATGGGCCCACTTGAGATAAATTTGCATACTTTATCTTTTAGCTTAATCATTAGAAACAAGCAGTCACCTGACAAGGGGGTGAGAAGGTGGGGTAGCTGGTGACCCTGAGGCAGGTCATGGCAACAGTGATCGTTGGCTTAGCAATGCACATCTCAGTAACATGAGTGGTCTTCCCTGTTGCATGAAGTATCACCTTTTACTACCTATGTGATAGTTTATAGTCTTCAATGTCTCTCCAATATGTTACTTAGGTGCTCTCACAAAATCATATACAGTAGTACAGTATTTGAGTATCCTGTACTCACTATCTTTCATGCAAGTATTGTAGTTTCTAATGATTCAGCCTGTACTTGTATATTGTTTTAGAAAATATTATTTTCTGTGTTTAAAAGTAACTATTTTATATAAATTTGGTGAGAAACTTTTAGCTTAAAAGATAAAGAACTATTTCTGTGACTATTTCAATTTGTGTAATAATGTGTTAACTTACATAAGGCAACTTGAGTGTTTGCTGCCAGGCACCTAATAATGCATTTAATTTGACTATTTGCTTTTTTTTTTTTCTTATGTAGGTACGTACACAGGTTTGGTTTGCTTTGTTTTTAGTGTGTATTGCATCACCATCAGAATGTATATAATTAGCAATTTTTATTATAAACCATATTGTATTTGTGTAATTATTATTACACTAAACCTGTAGGGAGTCCTACAGTGCTTGGAATGGGAGGTAATCAGATTTGATCCAAGGAATGGGAGGTCAGGTCGAATTCCTTGGATTTAAGAACCCCTTGCTGACATCAAGGAGCGTCCCATGAAGGAATGTGTAATAATAATAATCTGTATGGCTTAAATTTTCTTAAATTTATATAAAAAAAAAAATCATGCATGTGCATGGTGCAGTACTGCATTGATACAAACTTCTTGTATAACAAGTAGTTATGTATATTATCATGGAAATTTAATTTGCGTATTTTGTATTGGAAGAAATACTGTATACTGTACTCATAGCAATTCATGAACTTATTTGAATGGCAATCACTGTGCACTTTATTGCATGTCAGATAATTACCGCGAAAGAACACTTCGCTTCAAGTACCATAGTTTTATTTTAATGTAACAACTTGTGGCATATTGCTCAACATAGTCCATGATACTTATTACTGAATATTAAAGATTGTTATGGGAAGGCTGTGTTTAATATCAGTGAGAAAGTGTTGGTGAGCAGTGCCAGCTTGGTTGCTTCAAGTCAGAAGAAAAATACAGGGGGATTCTTTGCTTACAAATGAGTTGTTTTTCGGCATTTTAATTTACAAGCAAGTTGTTTGTAGCCTGAAAAATAATATCCAAGATGTTAGTGCAAAAGATAATTATGTGTTGCCTGTATTCCTAACTTCAGAATGGCATTCATAAAACAATTATTTTGTCATTATTACAGGTAAATAAATCTTTTGACTGTGTACTTTCATAATCATGAATTATTGTAACTTGGGCATTGGTAAGTTAGGAAACCCCATGTATTTGTATATGATTATTTGTTTAAATATAACTTTTATAGGCTTAAGCTTTTTATTGGTTGAAGAGTTTTATTTATTCACCAAATCCTTAAATACATAATGCATGTTAACTTGTATAAAGCTTTATGTTGAATATCAGTGTCCAGCCTTTAACAATGTACAGTATATATACACTGGAAATTTTACTTTTTAAGCTTAAACTTATGAAAAGTTTTCTGCTATAAATAATTATACTGTTATTATTATGACAATGAATTAATAAGATTGCCTTAATCCAATGATAGTCAGTTGAGGATTCAGCAGTTCAGTATTTTGTTGTGTTTGTATTTTATCTCATATACTGTGTTCTTCCTACAGGGGTGAATACTAGCAGATGTGTGGCCATTGTCAAGTATGAGGTGTTTCTTGTATAATGTAGAGCCAGTGTCTTATGTCCAGCAGGGACTAGGGAATATGTTAAGTAACCCTTGTAGCCATTGGTTAAAAATTCCTAAATGAAACCAGAGTTATCCTTCCTTCTGTAACTTTAAGTGCTGAAGAACTTGTAATTCAGAAACTCATTCTACTGTCTTGGCCACTTTAATGTACACAATACATTCAGTGTAATGATACACAATACTCTCTTCACTGACATGCTTTCCCCCCTTCCTTAGAGCATTAACAACTGTGAAACGATTAATTACGAAAAGAAGAAATGGTAAGACAGTTGGTAAGTTAAAGATATTGGTTTATAAATGTTTGACTATTCTTTATTATGGCTTGTTTATAAATCATTTTGAAATTTTTTAGCAAAGACATAACTATATTTTAGTAATAAAATGCATTTAATTTGTGGAAATTTTTTCTGAATCTATATTTGTGGGTGCTTTGATAAAAATGGCTGGTACTGCAGATCTCTAAACTAGCTAGTTTGCCCAGGAAGCATACTCTTGTATCCTTTATAAAGAAGTTAGAATTTGCTTTTCTTATACTGGACTGTATTTATGTGGTCAACTGCTATGTAAAGTTTAGTGAATATCAAGGAGCTGTTGGTAAAATAGAGATATTGTTTCTGTAATATAAGAGATTTTAGCATAAAATTATATAATTTTTGTTGTAATATTTCTGGGGCTCTGATTTAGTAATATAGTATATTAAAGTAGTATTAAAAAAAAGGAAATATATAAGCTTGAAAATAATTTACATGACATAGCTATAACTTACCTTAATTACAGTTTTGTAAAATTTACGTCACATTTTGCATGTTTATCAGCAGTCTTTCCACTGTGCAAAGACATGTAACCTGATTCATACTTATTTGACAGGAATATAGTATTTCTATGGTTTTTCTTTTTACCATATTGCATACTGGCCATTTCCCATCAAGGCACGATAGTGTGACCTAGACTATGAGAATGAGATTTATTCTTCTGCTTCTTTAGCTACTCTTACTAAGATAGATAACATTCAGTATTTGGATTTCATTTGTGTTTGGGGACCTTTCAGTTGTCCTCTATTTAAAGCCTGTATGTGGAGTACAGCTATCAAAATATCCATTGTCGCTATTATCATTATTTTCATAACCATGATTCTTTGACCAATAAAATTATTACTTGTCTTAGAAAGGCAGTCGTCATTACTCCCTTTTTGTTGCATCCCTTCAGTATACACTTAATAAAAATACTAAGTCCTTTGACTTACCTCCTCTCTTTGTTCTTCCTGTATTTAGAAAGTCCATGTGGTTCAAGTGTGTCCTCTTCCCTCTTCTATTCCTGAATTATTAATTTTGCTTTGGAATCATGTTCACTTGTCCCTCATCATTTCCAGTCACACTTATGCTATTGATATGTACACTAATGGTAGTAATTTAACAGCATTATGTATGTGAAGCAATAAATCCATGTGGGTCATCCAGCAAAATGAGCTGTGAAAGCTCTCATGGTATGGGACATATAGCTGTTTTCCCGTTACCTTTATGATCCAAAGTCAACTGCTGCAGTTGGCTAGTACTGTCATATAGTTGCATGCTTTTTTGTTGCTAGTATCCACATTCAACCACATCTGCCTCATCATTTGTTGTAGCCTCAGGGACTTAAAGCACATTGCAAGAATGTAAACCTGTGGTTCCTCACATTCCCATCCCCCTTCTCATTCGTCCATCCACAGTGCTTGCTGTGCCTCTGTAAACCTGTGGTTCCTCACATTCCCATCCCCCTTCTCATTCGTCCATCCACAGTGCTTGCTGTGCCTCATCTTCAGCAGACAAAAAAGTTGTCTTTTGCTGGGTTACTGGCCATGCTAGAGTTCAGGTGTTTTCTGCAACTCAATACAGTACTTTTTAATTTCCAACTATTTAGTTGCCATTTTTCTGATATTTTTTGTTACTCTCTCATCTCTTGCAAGCTTGTGCCTGTGTACAGTATTGATTACAGCAATGAACCCCGAGAAATGTCAAGCCATTTTAACAGCCTGGTATCTTGCGACTGTCATCTTCATCACAGAGCATGTTGGGTTCATTTTCAACCTTTCCTTCAGTGCCCTGACATACTTATGTATCCATCTCTCTCTCTGTTGGTCACTGATACTGATACTGACCTCCTACTTTAACTCCTTCCTTTTGCCACTGTCTTTCACTAAAAACTCCTCTCTCTTCCCCCTCTACCATCCTCTTTCAACGTTATTCTGCAGCACTTAATGACCATGATGGATTCAACACTTTCCTTGAATATAATGATTCATCTAGTTCTTATACAGTACAGTAGCTCATATTTAATGCATATAAATGACACTTAATTCTTGTACAGTACATGAAAGCCAACATAAAAAAAAAAAAAAAATCAGCATAATTTACTAATCATTACTCTTAAAACTAGTAGGCCCTGTCAAGATTTCATGGGATGGAACTATGGTCTGAGATAATTGGCCAAACTAGTTTAATTATAAATAATAGATTTTGTTAATTTTTTTTTTTCAACAAACTGGCCGTATCCCACCAAGGCAGGGTGGCCCAAAAAGAAAAACAAAAGTTTCTATTTTTAAATTTAGTAATCTATACAGGAGAAGGGGTTACTAGCCCCTTGCTCCCGGCATTTTAGTCGCCTCTTACAACACGCATGGCTTACGGAGGAAGAATTCTGTTCCACTTCCTCATGGAGATAAGAGGAAATAAGCAAGAACAAGAACTAGAAAGAAAATAGAAGAAAACCCAGAGGGGTGTGTATATACATGCTCGTACATGTATGTGTAGTGTGACTTGAGTGTAAGAAGAAGTAGCAAGACGTACCTGAAATCTTGCATGTTTATGAGACAGAAAAAAAGACACCAGCAATCATACCATCATGTAAAACAAATACAGGCTTTCGTTTTACACTCAGTTGGCAGGACGGTAGTACCTCCCTGGGCGGTTGCTGTCTACCAACCTACTACCTACAATTTTGTTAAATATGGGTACAAAATTAATAATACTACTATGCTGTATTACATTTATTTAAAAATTAAAAAGCAGCATACTTTCTTGTCACTGATTACTATAACTAGTAAATGACCCTCGCTCAATCTACTCTCTCGATAGACCCCTTGAGTGTTAGTGGCTTTTTGGAATTATTTAAAATAATTGCCACACCATTAAAAATATATCTGTGATCAATGTCCTGCTCTTACTGAGCAGAATTCCTTTAATTTTCCTAATTTGCCGGTAATTAAAATGTTGCCAAACTATTGATTCCAGGCTGGTTAGCTTGTTTTAAAGCTCTAAGACTATTTGAAGGTGGGAATCATATATCCCATTTAGATGTATGTTTATGTACTGTTCAGGTACACTACTAAATAATATGTTTAGATATGGTTAAAAGTTATCACTGTTTATCTTAAGTTATTTTAACAGTTAACCAGAACTGATTAGCCATATATTTTGGCACTATGTTCTGGTTTAAAGCATAATCCATAAAATTTATTTTAAAAAATCAAAACATCAATGCAAAAAGAAAAAACTAATAAATTTGTACTTACATGGTAATGGATAATTTTAGACCTGTGCTTGTTTACTTCACCAACAAGCTGATTAATCAAGACCAAACCTGGAGTGAAGAAAACATATTTCCCACAAGTTACTAAAATTCTAGCATCATGGTTAGATCTAATTCAGTACAGCATATATTTTACCTACACAGCCTAGATCAGAAGTTTGATTTACTGACTATATCATGTATCTTCAGAACTTTTTTGCAGTATTAGTATACTGTAATTTGTTATCAAGTTATACATTAAGAACTTATGTACTGTATGCAGATATATTTTTGTAAATCTGAATTTTACTGCTGTAATGAAAATTTATTACAGTATTTAATTGCACCAAGTTTAGCTCTCATAAATAAGTTATTAGAAGTGTGTGCTCCGGGATCATTCCTTTGATTTAATGATATTTTGACGTATTAAAGGCAGTAGTCTATGGCCACCAAGAAACTGATGTCTTAGCCAAATGAGATATTGTAGAGACGTGTGAGTAAAATTCAGTACAGTAAAATATTTTACTTAGAAAGCAAAATGCATGTCTTTATTTAATGACATATGGCTCAATTATGAGTTTTATTAAACATTTCACTCAAGTGTGATCTGTATTAAACATTTTGCTCAAATGTGAGTTCTATTAAACATCTAGCTCATGTGTGAAGTCTATTAAAACATGTGTCTTTATTGTTAGGTTTATCAAGTCTTGATAAAGCTCACACTACTGAAATGTTCAGTGTCAATATTTTAAACATTTTGTCATTACAAAATACAGTACACTACTGGATGTTATTGTCTTCAGTGAGCAGACAGGAAGTGTAACCCAACTTGTGAGTGGATGCCAGTAATATTGCAGTCACTTTTAAAAACTTTTATAATACAATTTATAATCAGGGAATGACAGAAATGTTCTTGGGGAATAGGGGGGGGGGTACTAACATGTACAGTACTTACATCTGCATCATTAATGCACAAGGACAAAGTTACTCTAGCAAAAAAGTTTCCATAAATAGTACAGTTACAGCATATACAGTATTTTTCTTTTGTTGCATGAAAGAACTGACTTTCCTTAGTCATTCTGATTTTAATACAAGAGTGCCCCTAATTTACAAATGCCCATGTTGCACACATTTGACTAAAAAACTGGGCACTAATGAACCAGTTCAAGTTTGCCATCTGCTGAACTGTAGAATGAATGTGTGAAACAACCATCCTTTGTATTTTATCATACAACTAGTTTGCAAGTTAAACTGCCAGGAACACAACAATTTAGTTGGAGACATATATATTTATCCTCCCACTATATAAGGACATATGTCTAAATCTTTATAAATAACTTTATCTTATACTTACCAAAGAGAGCATACAGTAGTAAAAAATGCTAATATTATTGAATTATAACTTTTTTTAGGTACAGTAATGTTTGTAAATCTCTACATTTCCTACTGCATTCACAGTAAGCTTTTAGCCCCTATACGTTTTCATACATGTCATGTATACATCTACCTTAGTTTTTGAGGGATGGTAGAGTAACACTCGAGATGTTGAGCTTAACACTTAAAAATAAAGGAAATTATAGAAGTTAAATAAAAAGCCCATTCTCTGACAGAGATGATGTATTGGAGTCACTACAGCGAGGTCCATTCAGTAGTACAGCTTGCTCCATACATTAGCTAAGATAATCTCTATTGAGAACAGAGGAGCACTGTAGTGATAGTCCTGCTCTTCCCAACCCTTCTCTTGTACACCTCTGCTGCCAAATAATTGTTTTCCTTTATAAGAAGAGGAGCATTGCAGTTGGCCTACTGGGCCATACTAGGAAGGTCATACTCTCATTGAACCATTTCCACTCATGTATAACTCTTATTGCCTTAGTATACAGAAACATTAGAATGTAAGAAAAGATAAGCACTGCAATATGCTTACTTGTCCATACTATACAGGTTCGACTTTCTCCTATCTATTTCTACCTATGTATTTAATCAAACATATTTTTGAATTGTGTAGCAGCAGTAGCAGTACAGGTCGGCCATCAATAATCCGGCATCATCGGGACCTGTAGGGTGCCGGATTAGTGACTTTGCCAGATTACAGAGTGGTTAGGTTAGAATACACTTAACCCAACAGTGATATTTATGCATCATAGCAACTGACAGTGGCTTCAAAGCCACCTTATCTTTTATGGACAATGTATGGTGTAGGTGCTTTACACAATGAGAAGGATTTCTTTTATTCGTTGGAACCATGGCTAGGGCTAAAAGTGAGCAGGTTTTAACAATAAATGGAGAAAAAGAAATTGAAATGACTTATGCAGCAAGTACAGTGGACCCCCGCATAACGATTACCTCCGAATGCGACCAATTATGTAAGTATATTTATGTAAGTGCGTTTGTATGTGTATGTTTGGGGGTCTGAAATGGACTAATCTACTTCACAATATTTCTTATGGGAACAAATTCGACCAGTACTGGCACCTGAACATACTTCTGGAGTGAAAAAATATCGTTAACCGGGGGTCCACTGTAGTGCCACCAAACAGTAGCAGCAGGCTGGTGTGGTGACCCCAGAAATTTGAAATTATGCTAGCCAAAATTAATGCCAGATTACTGATGGAACCTGATAGTTACTCATTGCCGGATAAGTGATGGTCAACCTGTAGTAGTAGATGTATAAAATTGCTGTACCTCTCAGAGGAATGGAGTATCAGTGATGTCTTTAAATTGTGGTCACACATATGGTGCAGTATATATTATAATGGCTTTCCACCACAGCATCTGAGATTTTCATATTCATCTCTGACTGTAGGATTATGCTGAACCATGGATTCAAAATTCAGATTTCAAAAGGATATAGGAAAATAATAGTCTGGCAAAGTTGTAGGAGAGGGAAACGAACTGCACAGTATCATCATTGTGCACTAAACTGATAAATGAGTTGGAATGCTTGGGTGGAAGTTGAAACTACCTAGCATAGGCATTAGATCTACTGTAGTGCTCTTCTATTTATGCTTTTGTAATCTTATATAGGAATTACTACAATGGGTTGGCAGTACTGTAGTTGTATATGAGTGAAATGTATGTGTGAGCAGGACCATTTCAGCATGGCCAGTAGGCCTACTGCAATGTGATTTTATTCTTATGTTCTACCCAAAATAATGGCTATAATAAGCATATACGTACTATATGTGGATTATGGGTATTGTCAGGTGTTTTGAGGATGAGTTATGGTTTTGTTTCTAGCTGTACTTAATATACATCTCCCACAGAGTTTAATTAATTGAGATATTTTACAATTCACTGCCAATTTTGTAAGGAACCAGGTAAGAAGCTGATTTTTATGTGATGTGCATTTAAGTGAATGTACAGGACTATGGAGTTTATAGATTTAAAGATTAATAATACTACATACAGTATTCGACAACATTATCCTATAATTTTTATTTCTGTTACGTTATGCTCTTAATAGAAAGGCTTTATATATCTCTCTAAAAAATTGAATTTCACTGCTACTACTTCACATACACTTCACTTCACATTTAGCTCTAAGTGTCTGCTGTTGTTTGCATAATTTCAGTTACTAGGTATAAAATATAATAACTGGCAGTAAGCTAATAGACAGCAGTCATCTAGAGAGGTACAGTACTACTATCCTGTCATGCGAGTACGAAATGGAAGCTTGTTAATATTTTTGAACTCTGGTAGAATTGCAAGTATTTTCTTTGTCTTGTGAACACACAAGATGATAGGCAAATCTTATTTGCATTTAGTATACACATACTTTTACTTTCCTATGTGCTTTCTAACTTTCTTACTCCTATAATATCCTGCATTTCCATGGGGAAAATAATCTCCAGAACCACTAACTCACAACACTGACAGATAGGTATTTTCAGACATGTAAAGCACTTTCTCTTTTTGGCTATGATTTATGACTACTGCTCAGAATATAGTTGTATATAGTACCTACTGTACATATGGCCTATGTACAACATGGAATAAGTAATTATTTCTTATGAAAATTTTTGTTTTGGAAGATAGCAAACATATGTATTATAACTGAGCAGCATGTGTCAGCCAGTCAACGTTTAGTATAGAGTCATGTCATACACCAACCGAATGTAAACAAAGATGGGCCAGTATGGATGGCAGAGATAAGGTTAAGTTGATGTTAGGATATTTCAGGTTGGGTTAGGTGGATTTTGTTTGGTTTGGTTATGTTTTTTACAATTTATAAAACAATGTCTTAACTGTAAAACCAACTTAAAATTGTACAACTCAAGCTATAATTAATGGCCAAAATTGGCCCAGTAGCAGTCGTATACTTTTACCAACTCTCTTAGCAGGAAAAAAAGTTACTCTACTCGTAAGAAATATAATGAATTTCATCATAACTCAATAGAGCTAGAGGATTTTCCTTCAAGGTACAGTAGAGTAAATGTGGCAGGACACAAGAAGCTGAAACCATTTTTGCACAGGTAGGGGTAAAGGGGTGAATTTTTTCTTGGGAGTTGTATGTGGTTGAAGCTAATACTATATTTTTATAGACTGTCATCCAGATTTTTTCCCATTTGCCATGCTGTATAATTTATGAGTTTTTAATTCAAGTCATGTGCCTTGGATAACTTATATTCTGTTATAATGGCTTAGTTATTGAAAGTCTTGATTAGGGATATTAATGATGAGAATCATGTTAAAATGTAAAACCTATATACAGTATGAAGACAAGACAGGTGCATAACAAGCATTGGTTGTGACAAATGTTTTGAACTATATAGTGAAATGTCACAATAAATGCTTATTCTCTACCCATCTTTTTCTTCATTCCTGTACACTTTTGTATCCAGTAAAACATATACTTGACCCTACCTACTGATAACTATTATAAACTGTACATTCCAGTACAGTACTTGTTTTTTTAAACTAAATACTTACAGTAATGTTAAAAATTTACGACTGAGCTTGCCAGTTGTTTTCACGTGAAAATAACTACATTAACACTTAATAACTAGGAACAACTGTCACACATTAAAAGTGCTTTCATCGCCATTAAGTGTAGTGATAACCATGCCAGTGCATCAGGATTTCTTGCCTGTATGCAAAAATACTGCAAATTTAACCGATATACTGAGAGCATTTTATTCTTTTCGAAACATTCTTACATTTCTCATATTCTTCCATAGTGTAAGTAGTCATGGAAATGGGATGTATGTGTAGAATGTATCACAGTCTAAAAATATCAAGTCTGGAAAATAATGAAATATATAGCAAAAGTTGATATTAGTTTTATGAATATACTTGTTGTTGTAAGTGATAACTCGTACAGAAGGAACTACTTGCCTTACTGCTTTACGTGGACTGAGTTTTACAGTAAACCAACATAAAATGTGTATGGACCATCGACTGTTAGTGCAGATGTACACTTTGAGGTGCAAGCCATTAAGTGGATGAACATAAGTATTTTCTCATGTATATGAGCAAGTTTGACTTATCAAATATAGATATGCAAAGGATTTTTATAGGAAATGAATGTATCTGTCATTAATTGCTAAGAAACAAGATAGACTTTACTTGGAAATGTTTGTAATAGATGACAGAGCTTAATAGTTTATCAGGTTAAATTTTAAGGCAAATTTTGACAAGATTATATTAAATAATTGAAAATTGTTAGCTGTTCTCATGTACAGTATTGCTTAATTTAGTGTTAAATATCAATGCAGATTTAAATTGTGTTATTAGATAAATGCTACTTTAGAGTTAATTTTGGCTTGCTGTCTGAGAATATCTGTTGAACTTGGCTAAATACATAGGCAGATTACCAGTATTTTGCTTTAATGAGTTCAGAAAATATATTGAGTATAGTGTGAAGGCTACATTAGAATGCAACTTTCTTCAGTTGTCAGTACGTACTGTATCTTTAATGTGTGCCATACCACTGAGTTAATTTGCATAATGTCTACCATACCACTGAGCTTATTCATATACTGTGCCATACCATTGAGTTTATTTGAAAAGTGCTGTTATTTTTTTTATTATTTTTATAGTATTTTTCAGCTATATTCTTCACCCACATGCACTTCATTTAATAATTAGGTAAAAGTTTTCTAAATCCAGTGAGTACCTGTACTTCACGAACACTTGAACACAAAATGGAAAGCTCATTTAAATGGTCAAAAGAATCTGTGCATTAATTCTGTATGTTGTAACATTTTCATTATTCCAGTGAGATTAATGTTGAATTGCTAATGCCAATAATCTTGTTTAAAGAATCAAAATTAGATTACAGTACAGTTTACAGAATCTGTGGGAATTAGTACAATACAGTATTGACAAAATTGTCTTAAGGCTTTGTCTGAAGATTTGTACCAGTCTTGTGTAAATTTAACTTAGCTTTATAATAAAACAAAGAAGGCTTCTAGATTTTTCATTGGCACAATTTGTATTCAAAATTTTCTTGATTTCTAGATTTTAGTAAAAAAATTATTTTATTTTGAATAGGTTTGACTTCTAGGCTGAAGTAGCAAAGTTCCTCTTTGTTTTAAGTTCTTAATTTAATCTTAAGGTTAAGAAGCCATCGGCAATGTTTATATCAAGTATTTGGCAAGAGTGTAATAGTGAGATGTAAAAACTTGGGCGAGTGTAAGAAGCTTCACATGATCGCTGTATGTTGTTCTAGTCAGTAGTATGCACAATTTTATGATCATCTGTAAAAGACTGTCATAAAATGCATAGTTAGAACAAATAAACTTATCTGGATTTGAAAAGACTTATTATCCTTAACTGCCATTTTTTTTAATGCATATTTCTACTGAAGGGCTTTGGAAGATTGAAAATGGTCTGGACTTTCATGAAGCCAAAGATTAAGGATTATATACCAATCTTATTATAGCTTGTGGTAATTGCATAAGTGGACATGGTGTACTTAAGTCAAGGTACACCCCATATTCATAGTGCTGCATGACCCAGATGGGTTGAACACACAAAATTAATATATTTTATAGCCTATATGAATTTAGCTCATAAAGTAAATATATACTGCATTATTACAAGGAATTAGAATTAACACAATCTTTGATCGAACTTGATTACCTTGCATTTTTCAGGCGCTGTGTGTGACTGTGCGTAAACTTACAGGTAAACTTATTTGGGCCAAAATTGCTAAGGCATCTAGAAATGGGAATGTAGTTTTAATGAGAGATTTTTCACTTTAATATACACTTGGAAAATCCTAGAAGGACTAATCCCAAATCTGCACATTGAAATCACTTCCTATGAGAGCAAAAGACTCGGCAGGCAGTGCAACATCTCCCCAAACCAGGGGTGCCATGAGTATGCTATTGAGAACACAATAAGTGTCAGGGGCCCAAGATTGTTCAACTGCCTCCCGGCATACTTATATAAGAGGGATTACCAATAGGCCCCTGGCTGTCTTCAAGAGGGAGCTGGACAGGCACCTTATGTGAGTACCTGACCAGCTGGGCTGTTACCTGGAGTTTCCTGGAGAGAGTTCCGGGGGTCAACGCCCCCGCGGCCCGGTCTGTGACCAGGCCTCCTGGTGGATCAGAGCCTGATCAACCAGGCTGTTGCTGCTGGCTGCACGCAAACCAACGTACGAGCCACAGCCCGGCTGATCAGGAACTGACTTTAGGTGCTTGTCCAGTGCCAGCTTGAAGACTAGAATAATACTATAAATAATACATATTTTCTTTTTGGGTCACCCTGCCTAGGTGGGAGTGGCCGACTTGTTGAAAAGAAAAAAATCTTTATTTCTATAAGTACACGTACAAGGTACACAGGCCTAGCTGACCTCAATGACATAGCGGTACCCCAAGTTTCGGCCATAATTCATTCCAGGAGGCTGTTCGAGTGCTGTTACCAAACGAACTTGTTCCCACAAGGAAAAATGTAAATTAGATTAGTCCGTTTCATACCCCCAAAAATACACTGACAAAAGCACTTACAATAATACACTTGCATAACTGTTCGAGTTGGGAGCTGTACGAAACTTGGGGCACCACTGTACTACTATATAGAAAGCCACTTGTTATGCAGAGCATTTTGGGTAAATTAGGTTAGTTTTGTCCTAGGATGTGACCCACACCAGTCGACTAACACCTAGGTTCCCATTTTACTAATGGGGAACATAGACAACTGGTGCGAGGAAACACACCCAATGCTTCTACCCTTGCTGGGAATCGAACTCGGACCCTTGCTGTGTGAAGTGAGAGCTTTAGCCACCAGGCCACGTATGTGAGTTTGCATGCGGCCAGCAGTAACAGCCTGGTTGGCCAGGTCCTAATCCACCATGAGACCTGATCATGGACCGGACCACATGGGTATTGACCCCCTGAACACCCTCCAAGTATAGGCAAAATGGTTGGAGCAGTTTCAGACTTTCTTGAAATGGTCCTGGACTGTCTTTTTAAAACAGTCTGTATCAGAACCAACTAGAGGAAATAACCTGTTGGGCTTAATTCTGAGAAACAAGAATTCTCTAATAGATTATCTTGAGGTTAATGAAGATCATGGAAAAATAAATCACAAGCCACTTATTTTCAACATCTCGAATTACCTTAATAATTATAACAAAGTTAGGGTCTAACATTTTTGTGCTGCAGATTATATAGGTCTAAAGGATTACCACAGTGCTGTATGACCCTTGTGGGTTTAGCACTTGGTTCTGATTATAATAAGGGATTGCCTGAGTAGTGTACACTGAGGTAACCTTACTACTGACAACTGTGAGGACACCATGATGGTTGTCAATACGTATAGCATTTTCCAAAGCATTGTATAAGATGGTGCTGTATAGCCCTTGTGGCTTAGCGCTTCTTTTTGATTATAATAATAATAATGTATAAGATGGCCAAACTGCATATATTCCTAATAGAGTATTTAAATAAAATATGAATGTCCTGATAAACAATAGGCTAAAACATCTTTTTGGTGAGAAGAGGGGCATTTATAGGTGAGGGTCAACTAAACAGTATATTCAATTTAAAAGTCAAAAAAGGAATAAGGAAAGCTGAGAGAATATGAAATAAAGCTTGCAAGGGAAACAAAGACAGCCTTTCCTTCGGGCACATAGGTGGCCAAAGGCTGCAAACCTCACTCAAGAAGAAAGACCTAGGAGTGAGTATAATACCGAGTACATCGCCAGAAGCACACATTAACCAGATAACTGCTGTGGCATATGGGTGCTTTCAATTCAATTCAATTCAAAGTTTATTCTCTATAAGGATTACAATGCTGAGTTTACAGAAATTTGGTTATTGTCAGTGGTCAGTCGTCACGTGAGGTCACAGACCCTGAGCTGCTTTGGGGATTAGTGTGGACGGTTACAAAGCATGGCTTGCTTCTGCAGTGTTTTAAAAACTGAGGTTGGAGAGTTGAAGGAGGAGGTCTTGCTTCTCCAGGAGGAGATTAGGAGGCTGAAGGTCCACCTCAATGGGTCTGGGAGAGAGTGTGAGGTGGCTGGAGTTGTGGGGAATGAGGCGTCTAGCAGTGAGGTGCAGTCTGTCTCTCGCTGTGAGGAGGCTGTAGTTGGGGAGGTAGCAACGGCTACCAGCAGTGAGGTGCAGTCCAGCACCTGCTACAAGTGGCGAGTGGTTCACAGTAATGGAAGGCGCATCAGGTAAGGAAAGTTAAGAGTGAAGATCTGAAGGTAGGAAAAACGCTTCTCTGTTCTTCAGGATGAATGTACTTCAGTGGCCAGTGAAGGTAAGGGTACTACTGCCCCTGCAATGGAGGTAAGCGCATTCTTGTGGTTGGTGACTCTCAGGTAAGAATATATTGAAACCCTGCTTTTTGTAATAGGATAAGAAGATGAGAGATAGAGTGTGCTTCCTGGAGCTGGTGTTGGGGACATTGTCAACAGGCTGGATAAATCATGTCAGGTAATGGGAACAAGCCCATTATCTGTCTCAGTGCTGGTGGGGAAAAGTTATTGGGAAGGGTAGGAAAAGAAGAGCTGCTAGATAAGTACCCGGTCAGCTATAGAATTTTTAATTTAAATCTAAGGGAGGGATCCCAATCATATGTAGCATCTTGCCTAAGGGGAGTAGGAAATGAATGGTTGTCTAGGGCAATTGGGTAAATTGCTGGCTAGACAGATACTGCAAGGAACTTGCAAACCCATTCATTGACAACTGGAACAACTTTTATGGCAAACATGATATGTATGCAAGGGATGGGGTACATCTCTCTGGGGCTGGGGTGGTAGCACTTGCAGACTCGATTGAGAAGGCCATTGGTGAAATGCCTATGATTTTAAAAAATGATGGAAGATAGAGGTATGGGTGTGTGTGGGAAACAAGCAGGTTGCAACACTTAGGTTGGAAACAGTAAATGTATAAAAAGGGATTCAGCATGAAGTTAAAATAAAGACAATAGATCAGGTCAGCAAACAAAGGGGGACAGCAGAGGGCAGCAAGGGACTAGCTCCTTTAAGGTTTACTATACTAATAGCAGGAGTGTAAGAATAAGATAGATGAGCTAAGATTAATTGCAAGTGCAGGAAACATAGATATTTTGCTTTTAACAGAGACCTGGCTCAATCTGAAAGATAGAGAGATGCCCCCTGAATGTCACATTTCAAGGCTATAAATTATTCCCCCACTGACAGGGTCAACAGGAAAGGTGGTGGAGTAGCGATGTATGTCAGAGACAATTTAAAAATTTTTGTGTTAGACAAGATATTAAACTAGAAGCGTCAGCCACTGAATCTGTTTGGTTACAGCTTCTCGAGGGCCGAGAAAAACTAATTTTGGGTGTGATTTACAGGGCCCCAAATCTTGATAGGGAGTGCAGTAAACTTCTATGGGACGAAATTCGTAAGGCATCTACATACGAAAATGTTGTTGCTAATGGGAGATTTCAACTAAGACAGATTGACTGGAGCAATTTGACAGGAAATTTAGAGTCAGGTTGACTTTCTTGATACGATCCAGGATTGTTTTTTAAAACAGTTTGTGACAGAGCCTACTAGGGAAATAACCTCCTTGACTTGGTTCCTTTTCCAGTAGTGAAACACAATTAATAATCTTGGGTTAATGATGAGCTTGGGGAAAGTGATCACAAATCACTCAGTTTTAATATATCATGGAATTCCCTAAAAATGGCAATCAAGTCTCCGTCCCTGACTTTCGCTTGGGTGATTTCATAGGACTGAAAATTACTTAGGTGGGCTGAACTGGAAATGACTGACTAAGGGTCAGGTAGGTGGTGATGGTTGCCGATATGATGCTTTCCCCGGGCATAGTTCTAGCTGCTCAGTCAAATTATGTTCCAAATAGGGAAATCAGATCAAACAAAATGATCCTAAAAAGGATGAACAATAGATTAAAATATCTGATTGGTCAAAAAAGAGGCATATATTGGCAAATCAAAAGAGGAGAGGGGCAATTGAGAAATCGATAATTTTAGTTAAAAAGAGAAAAAAAAAAAGGGGAAATTTGAAAAGCAAAAAGAGATTATGAGGTTAAAGTTGCAAGAGAATCGAAGACTAACCCAAAAGGGGTTCTTCAGGTATACAGAAGTAGATCAGGGACAAGATAGGCCCACTCAAAAGTTTTCCCCGGGTCGCTCACTGACAGTGATAAGGAAATGTGTAGAAAAATTTTTAACACATACTTCCTCTCAGTTTTTACCAGGAGGATACCAGCGATATTCCAGTAATGATAAATTAAGTAGAACAGGGCGATAATAAACTGCACTATTAGGGTCACAAGTGTCATGGGCCTTAGGCAAAAAGAAAAAAAAACCT